CACTATACTACTCAAATACTATTTTACTACTTACTAATACTTCACTACTACTACTACTTACTACGACTACGACACGACTTACGACTACGACTACGACTAATACTTAAATATCCTATAATACGCCTACTACTACTACTACTACTACTACTATTACTACTACTACTACTACTACTACTACTACTACTACTACTACTACTACTACTACTACTACTACTACTACGATTACTACCACTACTACTAATGCTGCCACTACTACGACGAGTACAACTGCAACCACTGCCACCATCCCTATCACTATTTGCATTACGATTGCGATTGCAACTGCTAGTACGATTTCTAGTGAAAAAAGATTCAACATTTCACGGAACTCATGATGTCGACTGGAAGGGTCTGGCCCGTGATGATTCCCACCAGCCCTTGAGGTTTAGGGTGTTTCCTCTTCCCTACTATTTTGTTTCTCCGGGGAAGGGTTTACCCATCCCTTTTCCTATCTCCCTCGGTCTGGAGGGACGGGGGCCGCCGTAGTTGGAACGTGCAAGATGGCCGATGTCATAGTGAGCGAACACACCACGAATGGTATTAAGGTTTTGGGCCAACTGGTTTCCTGGAAATGTGCCACTCATTTGGCAACCCCCTTTCGTTGACCAAGCCCATTATGCCACCGAAAGCTCTCTCAAGTCCCCCAAAGAAGGCCCCGGAAGCACCCAAGATGCTCCAACAGGCTACCAGCAGGTCCCCAAGAGGCTCACAACTGTGACCCCACTGCAAAGAGGTACCCAAAACGTTCCAAAATGAACTCCAAGAACTCCCAAGCCACACCCAAACAATCTCCGAACAGGTTTGGACCTTCTGCTCGCCATCCTCCTTCTCCGCATCCTCTTTCTCCTCATCGTCGTCGTCGTCCTCCTCCTCATCCTTTGTCCTCATCCGCCTATTCCCCTTCTTTATACACCCTCCCCCCTTCCTCCTCTCCCTCCTCCTCCTTCTGCTCCTCCTGTTCCTCTTGCATTCCACCCCCACTCCCACCCTCTTGGGGTATGACTGCTTCGCCAGCCCGCGACTCCACTGCACGCTCCCCGCATTCAGGGTCAGGAAGCATGCCCCACTCATGCCTGTATTCTGGAAAACGATCTGTTCCATGCTTGACTTGCGTATCGAATATCTCAAGATTTACAACACTCGAATATCAACAAAAACTCGCGGATGTTCCTCTGTGTCACAAGCCGGTCTCGACTGGGCCTCGGTTGCCTCTCCGTTAGACAACGCTTTCCGTCTCCAACGTGTCTCACTCATGGTTCAGTGTATCCCAATTGTGTCTCCAGTGTCTCCACAGTGTCCCAATTCTGTCTCAGTGTGACCACCCTTCGGGTGATGAGGAGGCTGGGGAGGAGCACGACCAACGTCACACTCAATCGATCACACGATCGATCTTCATCGATCCCACAATCGATCTCACCACTTATTGCTTACACTCGAACGATCGCATTCACGATCCTACTATCGAGGCCACGACCGATCTCAGTATCGATGTCACAATCGACCTCACTATCCCTCTCACGATCGCTCCCGCAATCGACCTCGCAATCGACTTCGCTATCGGTAACGCGATCGATCTCACAATGGATCTTGCCATCGATCTGACAAATGATTCCACTAGCGATCTCAATATCAATCTCACCCCATCGATCTCACAAAAAGTCTCACTATCGATCTTACAATCGATTTCGTTCGGGTCAAACCCACTGTCCTTCCGACAATAATCCCACCAGCCCTTTGGGCGTGAGTGGTTTAGAGAGCCCGCTCTGTCCTCAACCCCCTTCTTCCCCTTCGGGGAGGGGTTTACCCCTCCCTCACCCCCTCCCCCTGGGCCTGGAGAGGTCCTTTCGCGGGTGGTTGGAGGGGTCTTTTTCGACTCCTGGGAGGGCTAAAAAACGACACCCCTCACGAGGATTCTGGCCCCGACGGGGGGGGGGAGAAAAAACCCGCCCCATCTGTGATCGATCGCCCGAAAGATGGCCCCAAGATACCTCCCAGACCCCTCCCAAAGAGCCCCAAGAGGCTCCAAGAGGCCTCCAAGAGGCCCCCAAGAGGCCCCCAAGAGGCTCCCAAGAGACCCCAAGAGGCTCCCACGAGGCACCCAAGACGCTCCTGGAAGCCCCTGGGGCCGCCGAGAGGCCC